GCATTACAGCATAGACTTTTTTTTCTTATTACTTGTGTTATGAATTCAGTGGTTCCATTTCTTTTCACACAGTTTGGTTGAACCAACTCTGTAGACATGACAAACTAAACCATTTGGGAGAACAAGTCGCTAGTGTTTTTTGAGCCTGTGTTTCATCTGATCTGTTTATTTATTTTAAGTTCAGCAGAGGCCAAGTGACTCCCTAAATGTTCAACATCTCAGTTGTTAATTTCATAATCATCCCATGGAAATTACAGCAAATATGTAGGTTTAGTAATACTACTCACTAAGAACACAAAATATTTTCTTTTTGCATGTGATAAAGTCTGCAAAAATGTTACATGACTAATAGAAAGCTGCATAAGTTGTGTTTAGAACTACTTACTGGTTGTGGTTCTTCGTCCTTGACTTCTTCTTTTTTGACCCCTTTGACCATTTGCGGATCACAATCTATCTGAATTATAAACTTCCCATTTTTATATTTTCTCACTGTTCCATGTGTTTTCTTCAGGATTATATATTTCACATGATCTCTGTTCCCTTCTATTGTGGACTCTGGGTAATGATTAATTATTGCCTTTGTCCATTTATCCATGTTGTGTTTTTCCGTAAAAAAACCCAGGGAGCCGGTTTCATTATTTTTTGTCTTATATTCATAAAGATAGTTGGGGTTGTTCCTCAGTGTATCATCTTTAATCCTTTTCCTCTTGCTGTGGATTGCATTTTCTGGTATGTTAAATTTGCGCTGTAAAAGAAGTTCTCATGTAAATTACAATAAATTTTGAGGGTTGTTAAGTGAGATGTCACTTCTGGGTCCAATGTGCATTGGCTGATTGAAAACACAATTACAATTTCCTCTTTTTTAAAGTGATGTCTCACATTACAAAAGGACTGCAGTTGTTTTACACTAGCAGCAAGTTATAAGTGTGACAGAAAGTGCACAAGGTTGAGATAAGAAGCTAAGCTCGTGTTAACAGTGACTGGCAGGGAGATACACACTGTTCATTTGGTTATAAAACTACATTAATTACACATTTCATGCAAGTTGTGGTTAAAATTCTTTTGAAAGGTAATAGGACAATCTAAGGTAATCGTGTTGAATAAGAAACACAGCACTGTGACATTTTTGGGAAAAAAAAAAAAAAAACTAAGCTAGAAATGTGGACACACAAGTGACATAATCTCTTAACACTCCCATGGGTGAATAAAAATGTAACACGCCACGCTCCATGCAGCTGAACTGACATCCTGACGCAGACCTGAACCATCGGGGGCATTGTGGGAATCCAAACAATTTCATTTATTTATTGCTTATTGTTTTAATAAACACATCACATAGCTCATGCACAGACATTTCTCTGTCAAACTGTTGCTGTTCTGAGCTGTTTTGAATCAGTTTTTTCACACAATTTTGATGGATCAGCCAATCACAGCTCATGCATTTGACAGAAATTCAACAGATACTTTTTGGCCGTGGTGCACAGGTGTGGGACATCCTGGTGTTGAATTGACTTTGGACTATAAACCAGCCACAGACTGCATGTAAGGAAGCTGCATAAGTATTGTAGAACTACTTACTGGTATTGGAGATGGTGATCTTGGTGGAGATGGTCTTTGTGCCATGACTGTGAATGAAATGTAGAATTCAGATCTCATGCAACTGCTGTGTATTATTTTTATATAACCACAGGTAGTTCTGGCAACAATTAATCACTGTTCTATATCACTACGCTCTGAGCATCACTATAGCAAATGAACTACTGTTAGAAGGGTCTAGTTTTACCTAAAACAAAAATAACTAATTCCTGGAACATCCATGGGCAGCCAAAATGTTGTCAGATTTAAAAGTGAACTTTTTTCCAGTTTGTGGGACCATTGTATAAACACATTAAACAACTTGGAGCAGTCTGCATCGTGGAGTTCTAGCTGTGCAATAAATGCAGTGCACTTATCTAAAGGTTATTTCTTTCCCAAAACATTTGCCTGTCTCCACAAGTTCTGAATATTTGGGAGGAAGCTTCACCAAAGAAACTCATGGTTGTTGGTGTCAAAACAAACATCATGACTTATGAGGAAGGAATGAAAACCAACAAAGATTTATGTTGAATATTATATTATTATAATAGAAAATCACTAGTCTGTAAATTTGAAGTCAAAAAGAGTACATTTTTCTGAAGGATATGAGGATATCTTGCATGATGCCAAGCAAAAAGAAGAGAAAAGAAATCCTTCAGATTTCGGCTGATCTGATTAAAAGATACTTGCCTAAAGTGGAACAGCTGAAGCTGTGGTGTCCAGGAAGCTCTGAGGAGAATCTGAAGCTGGTGCCTGATTCAAAGTCATCCTGCTCTTTTATGTTTTTATTAGACTGGGTGGAGCTATCAAACTCCAACCAGTTCTCATCATGACAAAGAATTTGACATGATCCTTTTTAGGCAACAGTCAGACAAGTTGAAATTAGAAAATTTGAAATTTGAACACGCTATTATCATTTTTGCATAATGTAAAACATATTATAGACTATTACTATTTAACTAAATCAGAGTTGAGTAAAAGTGTAAAAGTGTTTTTTTCTGATTTTCAGAAATGACCTCAGTGCGTGTGATTAACCCTGAACAAGTCTTTGTTCATATGTATTCATGAACAGGTCTGTTTGTCTTTCCAAGGGTCCAGTCTCACCTGTGGAACATATTTTATGGTGATTTAAGTTCACTCCTTTTAAATGAAACGCACATCAAAAGGTGTAAGATTTTATGATGGTGTGTAGGCTTAAGGAATGAGGTATAACCAGTGTGTCCATTTACTGGAAAAGGTCCTGCTTTTTGAGTGTTATATGGGCGATCTAACATTCAATGGGCCTAATTTAACAATCCTCTTTAAAATGTGGGGCACAAGAAGGACTATTGATTAGGTTACATCATTTTTATAGGGTCCAATTTTGTGACCACCAAAAACTGAAATCTATTGGTGGAAATGGGAGCAATTTGTAAAAAATTCAAGACGTGTGAAAAATTGAGATAACTTTTGATGTCCCACCCCTTGAGATAATGTGGACCAAATGTGAGCCTGTTTGGGTGAACGCCCTCGGAGGAGTTGGCACAAATATGAAGTTTACAGAAAATGCTTCGCAGATTAAAATCCAATATTGCTGAGCCCTGATGGAGCGGATGGCGCTGGTGTAATAGTATTTTTTACTTGTCTTGTCATGATCTTTTTTTAATTTTTTTTATTTTTTTATGGGAGGAGATCAAGAAGTCTATCTTTTATCACCAACACAATACGCACAAGACAGAGACACGATTAGAAACTGAACTATATATACCTACTAAATTGTATTGCAAATATAGGCCTCGTTACTAGAAATGACAATAAGGATTTACTTTAAGATTTATTACAAATGTTGTGCACATTTTAAGGTAAATTTATGGTTTCAAATATTTGGACATAGGCAGGTGGATCAATTATGTGTTTTTTATTTATTTTTGTGCAAGTTATGAAAAAGTAAAAATCTCCATGCTTGTTAAACTTTGGTGTAAACCTGGTGAAAATGAAGGAATGCAATTAAATAATAAAAATATAAAACAATAAGAGTTGAATAATTAAAACATATATAAGCAGTTAAAAGCATGAATACATATTAACTTGGAAGAGTTCTGAGTTGGTTCAGTTGTTTATGATAAGTTGTTTATTGATGGGTTGTGTCTTGTTGGTAAAATGTCCATAATGTCCACATGAGGGCGCCAGAGCATTTTGTTTCCATCCGTAGATGTTTACAGCTCTCAAAGATGAACACAATCAAGTGAATGGTACAGGGTAAAAAAAAAAAAAAAACAATAAATAAAAATAAATACATAAAATGAAAAAAATATGTATAAATAAATAAAACGTTAACAAAAAAACCCCAAAACAATTTAATAAAATAAATAAATTGCACAGGGTATTCATATGTTTCTGTGTCTTGGGCACCATTTTGAGGACTTTTTTTTTTGCCATTCCATAGATGTAATATTATTTTGAAGGGTAATTGCAGCCCTTTTCTCTCTCCTCAGGGCTTTGGTAACGTGGGTCTTCACTCCATGAGGTACCTGCACAGGTTCGGGGCCAAGTGTGTGGGAGTGGGCGAGATCGACGGAAACATCTACAACCCCGAAGGCATCGACCCCAAGCAGCTGGAGGACTACAAACTGGTCTGAACCGCTCTAGTCCAGTTCTGAACCGCTCTAGTCCAGTTTTCTGAGTCTACAATTGATACTTTGCAGTGACATCATGCTGGGGGCAGCAGCATGTATGTCTATGGTGGGATGTTTATCAGTTACCATGGTCACACATTAGCAAAAACTCCCAAATAATTGAGTTTTCAAAAACTAAATTTATGAAAAAGTGTTGACCAATGTAATATACTATAATTCCATCTCAGTTGTTTAGGATCAGATTGTGTTAAAATAAAATAAAACTCAGATTAACGTTCATCCTGAGTAACAGCTTCAGACAGTTAACATCACCCCCAAGGGAACATTAATGACATGAGCTGCAAAGTATTCATATATATTTCAACTTGAATACCTGATTTTTCAAAACTACTAAAATAATCAAACTTGATAAATTGGAGTAAAAGAACGATAAAAGTAATTTTAAAGGTGTATTGTGTAACTTTTCTGGTGGAAGGTCCGTCAAATGTTTTTCTCCTTGGAGATGTTTTTGCTTTGGAATATTTCACAGTATGACATTAAACCTTTCTATCTTCATGGAGACAAACCAGTTCAAATGACAGATCAAATTTGTGGAGAAGCGAGCCCGCTCACAGTCAGAATGCTTGTTCTTCTAGGTATTTCTGAGCTATAAAACCACCTGTATTTGAATAAATGTAAAGTAGATCTGTTTAAAGTCACACTGTGGAACATTCCAGACAGCAACAATGACATATTCATTAAGGTGGTCCAGAATTTTTCTTTAGAGTCTCTAGATTAGAACCCTGCATTTGGTTCCATATCTGGCCAGAATATTTGGGTCAAACTTTTATGCAAATTAATATTTAGAAGTTGCTCAAGACACTTGAAAATTGCCCTATAGAGCCTAGACTATAACAGTGAACCGAATAAGGAGTATTTGAATAATTTGTCATTTTATTCTGCAAACACAAACTGAAACTTGCATAAAAAATACTTAGAAAGTCCATCACTAAAGATGTGCCTGTGCTCTTTGACACCTGCTCTAGATCCTGTTTCTGATCTTCATTGTTTGTTCGGCTACAGTTAAAATCTTGAATAAGCTTCGCCGCCTTTCAGCGAAAGCACTGACGACTCTCCTGGAAAACACAGTTTTAGGGGGTGGGGGGTGTGTGTATGTGTGGGGGTGTGTGTGTACATCTCTACACGTGTGCGCCTCTACATGTGCTTCTGTGTTTTCTCTACAGCAAAACGGCACTATTGTAGGCTTCCCAGGGGCAAAGCCGTACGAGGGCAGTATCCTGGAGGCAGACTGTCACATCCTGATCCCTGCGGCCGGAGAGAAGCAGCTCACCAGGAACAATGCTCCCAGAATCAAGGCCAAGGTACAGTGTGAACATGAATTACTCCAACTGTGCTACACAAGCTCCCTCTAGTGGTGTCCTACAGTTCTAATATTTGCTTCAAGATCCCATATTACGCTTTTTTCTGATCTATTTGATTGAGGGTATTCCATCAAAGTCATTTAACAAGTCCAGGCTTATCCTGAAATCCTGAGCTGAAACTAGCTCCGTCTTGACTCGTTCCATGACAGAAATATGCCTGACTGCAAAGCTCACGATTACCAAAATGACCTGGTTTAATACTGATATTTAGACAGCTGATGTGTGTTTCTTTTGGAGTTTGTTTACATTAGCAACTAGAGAGACGCTTGCTCCATTCGTGTCAAAAACATGGATCCTTACACATAAAAAAAGGTTTAAAATCTACATAAAGGAAGTTATATTTTGTTGTGAGTGTTCTGAGCATTTCGAGAGGAGATGTCTTCTGCATTTGAGAGATTTATGACAAAATTTAGCGGAAGAAGAAAAGGAGACTGAGTGACTTTCCTGATATTAATAAAACTTAAAACATTGTGACGGCATTTACAGTGACCAACAATAAAAAAATTGGCAGAAATTAAGTTCATAGTGTTTAAAATATATGCAGTTCTACATTCCGATCTTGTAAACTGTTTTTAATTTTTGTTCTGAGCAGATCATCGCTGAAGGTGCCAACGGACCCACAACTCCTGAAGCTGACAAGGTCTTCCTGCAAAACAACGTGATGGTTATTCCTGTACGTGAACAAAACTGAACCTATAACACTATACAATACAAATATAATATACAATACACATATAATAATATAACAGTCATCAGTGAGGACTTGGACTTAGACTTTATTGATCAACAAGGGAAATTATTTGGACACAGTAGCTCACAGCATTGAGCAAGAGACTGATGTCAAATAAGACATGGTAACTGGTCATGGTCAGGAATCAGAATACTCTAGACCAGGGGTCTCAGACTCGCGGCCCGGGGGCCAACTGCGGCCCGCGGAAGGATTTTTTGCGGCCCTCCACTTGATTCCAAAGAATAATGTCAGTGCGGCCCGCGGTAGATGTACGCACAATCCCACCCCCCTACCGCGGGCCGCACTGACAGATGAAGCTGCAATCGGTGCCCATGCAGATTCACAACAGATTATTAACGCAGTTTACATCCCAAAACTCAATTTACAGCAGTTGTGAAGCAACGAGTCTAAGTGGATCTGTTAATACAAGTACACGTGCACATACACGTGCACATACAGCGTCACCACAAACCACACATGGTGTGCGCACTTCACTTTACGCTCCCACAACCACAGCATCAGAGCGCAGAGGAGGCGTTGACACAATTCCCCTGTTCATAAGTATGGGACCTTTATTGGAGGGGCTAATAAGAAATAAGACATTGACAGTCTGTTTAGCTGTTCAACACTCGGTGCGTAACTTGCTGGCAACCAGATGACCAAGCTCCACCTGTGCGTCGCCGAAATCCACGCGCACTCAGCTGCAAACACAGCTGTCCCATCAATATACAAGCACCACAAAACTGCAGTGATCTATTCCAGAGGCTTGGCGACATGTTAGCAAAAAGTACGAGGCAAAAACAAGCGTCTTCCATCCATGTTTGACATACGAGAAGCAGATACACTCTAGTGTTGTCCGCTTTCACACCGGCAAACGAACCAAAACTGGTCCGATTAACGAGCCTCTGTATCCCGGTAGAACAGTGATACCTCCAGTAACCAATACTGATGTTCCCTGTTAATACCGCGGGCGTCTTCATCTTATCACCATGAACTCATAAAACAGCAACGTAGAACTTTCTACAAACTCACCGCATCAGTTCTGAGTTCGGGTAACAGCAGCAGCCAACAGCGTTCACAGTAGCGCGCAGCTCCTCAGGACGGCGCTGGAGTCTGGTCCTTGGTTTTCTGTCGTCCTACAAGCGCGTTGGTCAGATGGTCCGGAGGCTCCATCCTCCATGTGCTGGTTCCAGACGGTGGCGAGCAAGACCAGTGCGCAATGACTGGGTCTGAGCGGGTACGTTCCGCCGTCTGCGCGCTGGTTCCGTGTTCCGTGCGGGGAAAGTGAGAATGTTCTGTGGACTACCTACAGGTCTGTGCTGCTCCTGTCCTCCGCGCTCAAGAACCGCGGCTGGTTCCGAGGTGGTGCAAAGCATCCGGACAGAACGTGAATCCAGTTTAGTTGGTGTCCGCATTTGGTTCTTCCCGAGAAAAGCGCTTTTCACTCCCCGCTCCACGTCATCTGAGCCCGGACAGAACCGGAGCTGCTCCTGCTGGTTCGGGACTCCGGTTTGGATCTAGTCCGACTGTATTTCTCACACTAGGCTAAAAGCAGGACATTTTTTAAAGGTGAATCAATTGAATGGGCGATTGCCTATTGCCATAAAATTATTTGGTTAATTAAAGCCTAAAATAACAAATGCTGGTTCCTACATGATCACGGGGAACACCGGGACTTCTCTGTGCAGGTCCTGAACAGAAGTACACACCCCCATTTTTGACTCACTCTGGAGCCACACGTTCGCACACTGATACTTGCTCTGATCTTCGTGTATTACATTCTCTGTATTGGCCATTGTTGGTAAAATATTTCGAAAATGAATCGCGGCTGCGTCTGGACAACAATCTGTTACTGCGCTGGAGTCGTACAGCGCGTCATTACAGGCAGGAGACGCGTTTCTCCCATGATGCATCTAGAATAGTTCGTTTGGACCTGCTGTCTGTGGTTTGGACCCGGGTTCGCGTTCACACCAGAAGAACCGCACCAAAAGTTGGTCATTTGGTGTGGATTCGGTGTGGCGAACCGAGACCACCTCTTTTTTTAGGTCTCGGTCCACTTGAGTTGGTCCGGGTCAGAGTCCGATTGACGCTTTCACACCAACGCAAACGACCCGAGCTAACCACTTCTGGTTCGAATGGACCGTTTGGTGCAACAAATACTGTCGGTGTGAAAGCACCATACAGGTCAAGGCTCACTGATGAGCATCTTCAATCTATCCTGAGGATCTGCTTCCTCCTGCAAGCCAAATATCTCTCAGCTGTACAAGATGAAGCGTAGCCAGGTTCCAACCAGCAAGGAGTAGGCAAAAGAAGAAGAGTAGACGTATTAGTTTAAACTTACGTTCTAAATACATTTTCATGTTCTGAACTGTTATTAAAGATTAAGAAAGTGTGTTGCGTATTGTTCTTTCTCTCTCCGCTTTTCCCGTGCAACCGCTATTTATCGAATACTCAATGCGGCCCAGCCTCACTCAGACTTTATCTAATGTGGCCCCCGGGTAATTTGAGTTTGAGACCCCTGCTCTAGACAGTTTACAAGAATCCCAGAAGTTGTAGACCGCGCACCGACTAATCAGTGAAGAGCTGTGAAGCCATGACGTCAAACTCAAGTGTCTGTCTGTGTCCCTTTTGTGGTTCAGCCCAACAGTAAACAAAGCGTCGAGATGGATGTAGATGAAGACAGACATTCTGTGTTGGAAACGATTCCTGAGATCGAGGATTTAAAGCTGAAACAAAGAGAATGTTTGGTGAATTTTATCAAGGAGAAAGATGTTATTGTCCTTCTTCCTACAGGATTTGGTGCGTTACATACGTCACAACCAAATAGCAGCGATCGGTTAAATACAAAAAGTACCCACCTTCCGTCAAGTGAATGAGTCCAGCTGATGAATCTAACTCAAAGTGCTTTACATCAAGGAACCACTCACCCATCCACTCACACACCAGTGTACACAGACACTACGGGTGAGGTGGAGTGTCTTGCCCAAGGACATAACGACAGCATTTCTCTGGGGAGCTGGGATCACATCACCCAACCTGTGGCCCGGGAATCTGACCACTCAAACAATGAGATAGAGATGTATAGATATATATAGATATATAGATAGATATATAATTACATCGAGAGTGGGAGTTGAACCACCAACCTTCAGATCAGTGAACAAACGCTCTAACTGAGCTACTGTTGCATAAATAAAATATAGAAATATAGTAACAATAATAGATTTCAACAATAGTGAAGTAAGGATGAGTTGTTGTGCAGTTGTAGGGAGTATTATCTGTTACATAAAGGTGAGTTGTTGTACAGTTGTAGGGAGTATTATCTGTTACATAAAGGTGAGTTGTTGTACAGTTGTAGGGAGTATTATCTGTTACATAAAGGTGAGTTGTTGTACAGTTGTAGGGAGTATTATCTGTTACATAAGGGTGAGTTGTTGTACAGTTGTAGGGAGTATTATCTGTTACATAAAGGTGAGTTGTTGTACAGTTGTAGGGAGTATTATCTGTTACATAACGGTGAGTTGTTGTACAGTTGTAGGGAGTATTATCTGTTACATAAAGGTGAGTTGTTGTACAGTTTGTAGGGAGTATTATCTGTTACATAAAGGTGAGTTGTTGTACAGTTGTAGGGAGTATTATCTGTTACATAAGGGTGAGTTGTTGTACAGTTGTAGGGAGTATTATCTGTTACATAAAGGTGAGTTGTTGTACAGTTGTAGGGAGTATTATCTGTTACATAAGGTGAGTTGTTGTACAGTTGTAGGGAGTATTATCTGTTACATAAGGGTGAGTTGTTGTACAGTTGTAGGGAGTATTATCTGTTACATAAAGGTGAGTTGTACAGTTGTAGGGAGTATTATCTGTTACATAAGGTGAGTTGTTGTACAGTTGTAGGGAGTATTATCTGTTACATAAGGGTGAGTTGTTGTACAGTTGTAGGGAGTATTATCTGTTACATAAAAGTTGTTGTACAGTTGTAGGGAGTATTATCTGTTACATAAAGGTGAGTTGTTGTACAGTTGTAGGGAGTATTATCTGTTACATAAAGGTGAGTTGTTGTACAGTTGTAGGGAGTATTATCTCCTCTGTGTGTGGATGAGCAGGAGTGTTCATGATCCGGAGCAGTTTGTCCAGTTTGGAGGAAGAAGATCTTGCTTTAATATTCTAACTTAAACCTACAAATTCTCTGCTTCTCTGTTCAGATTAGGGCGACTCGAGGCTTTCTCAGGCAAAGTTAAGAAAAGTTTACCTCGGATGTTTTTGTTTAATTTAAAAGATAAAACAAGATTACCTGTTTTTGATGTTATTTTTCACTTTTACCACTCTTTCTCCTTCTGTCTCCCTCTGTCTCTCGCTCTCTCCCTCCCTCCATCTTTTTCTGTTTGTCTGTCTCTTCCTTTTTTCCCTCCCTCTTTATCTCTGTCTCTCTTGCCATGTCTCTGTGTCCCCATCTCTCTGTCCCTCCCCTCCCTCCCTCTCTCTCTCCTCCTCCTTCTCTCTGTCCTCTCTCTTTCAGGACATGTATCTGAACGCTGGTGGTGTGACTGTGTCTTATTTCGAGTGGTTGAAGAATCTGAACCACGTCAGTTATGGCCGACTCACCTTCAAATACGAGAGGGACTCCAACTACCACCTGCTCAGTGAGTAGAATTGCTTGTTATAACCTTTATTATAACTTCTTTTTTGGTCAGGTTTCTTTTGAAGTCTGAGTTTTTCCACCCCAGCGGTAGAAAAGAGCGTAATAAATCCTCATAGCATTTGCTCCTTTACTTTGATATTACTTCTGTGTACAGTGAATGAGGTGTGGATCAGATTGTGTTGCTGCGTGAACTTTGTGCTTGGCCGTGCGTTGTTCTCTGACAGATCTACTTCATCCAATAGTGACCAATATTACTGTTCCTGGCATTCATTATAATGTTATATATAATACATATATTCATAATATGTATTTATAATTTTGATTGATTGGTTGATTGATTGCATTTATGTAGCGCCTTTCAAGATACCCAAAGTGCTTTACAGTTCATTATTCAGTCACTCAACACTCAGTGGTGGTAAGCTACTATTGTAGCCACAGCTGCCCTGGGGCAGACTCACTGAAGCGAGGCTGCCAATCTGCACCATCGGCCCCTCCGACCACCACTATCACTCATGCACACACCACTTTCATACTAGGCAATGTAGGTGGAGTGTCTTGCCCAAGGACACAGCGCCCCACTGCCCCACTAATTTTGGCTTAAAAGCTCGCGGCAACATATTGAGAGAAAAAAAAGAACGTTGAACTTGTTCATTTTTGGAACTGTGAATGAACTATTAACTATAAACAATTATGAACTATGAATTAACTAGTTCATTTTGCAAATTAATCATCAAGTCCTGCAGTCACCCTCCTCGTGTATTAATGGTTTAATCCACGTCTGTGCACAAAGCAGTAACATCAGAAACATTGATTTCACATTGAACGTATTCCATAATCCACGAGACATCCACCTGTGTGGGACCAAATGCAGTGGACACCCGTGAGGAGGTGAGAGACGTGGTAACTTCCTATTTGTAACACGGTGGCTAGTGCGTTCGCTCTCTCCATTTATATATTCAGTCTATGCAGTCGAATGATCTGATACCACCACTGAATAGACAGCTCAGACTATTATGAAGTTGTTAATTTTGGTTGTCTTGCAGTTACTGTGTTAAATGCTCTTTTAGACAATAAAGTTTATTTGAAAGGGTGTATTTGCATTTTTATTCCATTATCATTATATTAGTTGTCAATATTGTTGCTTATCAGAATAATTTCTTGGTCAATTAATCGTCAAGCAAAATCTGTTATTGTTACAGGCCTAACACACACACACAAACACAAACAATGCAAAGTTGCCAAGAGCTGAGGAGACCGTGGGATTAATGTTGCTAATATCTTCATCTTCTCTTTCTCCTTCTGTTTTTTCTGTTTCTTCTTCCGTTTCTTCTTTTTATCGTGTGTTTTTTTCTTCTTTTTTGTCTGGCGTTGGCTGCTTTCTGGGCGTTTTTTGTAACATTATCTCTTTGCTTCTGTAATGCAGGGTCTGGAATTTCTTGTAAAGTTCCTCTAATTAAACGAATATTCTCTACATTCGCTCTCAATGTTTGAAAATCTCTTATAAATACATCAAAATTAGAGTCTCTCAAAATTAAAAACTTCCCAGATTTGGGAAACAGACGAATATTTCCAACTTGGTTTCCCAAGCGTATCATTTCAGTATTTCTCCCACCTGGCTGTTGGTTAAACTCTGGGTAAAAATCTCTCAATGTTTTTATCCAAATATCTGGATGATGAGTTAGGAAGATCATGGAGCATCTGGTGTTATCATTTGTCAGGTGTTCAAAGAGCGTGTCAGGATGCAACTGCAGCGTTAAATCTTTAATTCTTCCGTGATAATAAACTGTTGCACCCTGTGGTATTTCAAATCTTCTCACTGTGATCTGTGTAGCCACAAAAAAACAAAAAAAAAAAAAATTAAAAAAGCCCAAGTGCGTAAGATTTCAGCTAAAGAATGGACTAAAATAAATGTGTTAATTTCATTATAGCTTTTTTCTTGCACTATGAAGACACTGAAAAACATAGAAACAGGGACATTACACAGTATGGTAATATCCCATCGTCTCTAAGGAGAAACATGCTTTTATTGCATCTTTTCAGCCATGTTGTTTTGTCACTTGTTACAAAACTGCAGTAAATGAGATTCACTGGTTTACTCACCGGATTATTCATGGTGCTGTAAGAAATATAAAACTCTGGTTATTGTTAATCATAGTTTCTTTTACTAAGATCACTGCCCAGTCTTATTAAAATTATTTATTAAAATGTGCATTGTAATGTTGGATTTTCAAAATAATGATAATAATAAAGGCTCTGAGGAGATACTCACAGTGAAAGGCAGGTTCTGTGCTTCTAAGTGCTGTGAAAACAGACAATAACAGTAAAATATTACAATATGTTTATTTATTTTTTATTTCTTTGGAGTTGTAATGTGAGGCCCTGAACAAGGGCTCCAGGTCCTATAACACCCCTTTACTTAACAACAAAAAAGATCCTTACAACACTGAATTTTCACATGTGAATGTAACTTGAGATTGTCAATGTTTTAATGTTTTCTGTCTTTTACTCACAGTAAAGAGCAAGTTCACCTAGTTTCATCTAAATGCTGCTAAATATACACATATTTTGACTGTAGTCTTTTTTTCCTCAGACTTGTGATAAAAATGATACAAAGTCCATCCCAACCTGTTCTAAGCTGTTCTTCTAAACTCCTTTATTTCCTAAAATATTGATTTTACTGTTGTGCTTTTTGAGTATAATTTCTTAAAAAAATACATTGGTATCCTTCAATTAATCCTGAACACAGCAGCAAGAGACTTGAACACAACTATCACTCCAGTATTTGCCACCCAACCTACCAATGCATTACTGTTTTTAGATTTTAAAATTTCTTAAACCTACAAAGTACTGTCCTATCCTCACTGTCCCCAAAACCCATCTGGCAACATTCTCAGTCTGTCTCAGTTATTCAATCATTCATATTTGGTGGTTGTAAGATACAATCCCTCCAACCACCACATCATGGGAAATGTGTTTATTACAATTATTACTTATTATTCATTATTATTATTGCTATTTTGGTTTAGTTCAAATATGCACTGTAAATAAGAAATCCTCCTTTGAAATAATGCAGCCCCACTGACTGGAGACATAGTTGATAGTGCAGACTCATACTCACAGGTTGTGGCAGGTGCAGTGATGATCTTGTTCTGAGGAGGTTGAGCTGTAGAAGTTTGTGGCTGAATCAAACTCTCCTTCTTTTATATCGTGACTGAGCTGCAGCAGCATAATCGAAATCCAATCACAAACTGCCCTCATCATGAAATATGAGCTGCATCTTTTTTTTTGGCACTATGGTAACATTTTAAGGTGTGACTGATGTAGATGATGGTCTTTCTGTCTGGCAAAATAGTTTGTAATTCATCTGTATGAACTGTGTCTAATATTTGACTCTTAAAACTCACACAGTTTTAGCCCCTCCCAAAAAGGGTCTATGTGAAAATGTATGTGAAAATGATAAAATGTAGATCTCTGACTTGTATTAAATAATGTATATTTATGTAAAAAAAAAAAAAAATCTAATTTCTTTACCCATTTTATTTATTTGGTCATTATAATTTGTGTAATTTAAGTGGCTGGTTGCTTTGCTATTTTGAAATTTAAAAAAAGATGAAACAAACTCGTCATCTGCACAGTTTAATATCATTTACTGTGTCTTTTCTTCTGTCCAGTGTCTGTGCAGGAGAGTTTAGAGCAGAAGTTTGGGAAACAAGGAGGACCCATCCCCATCGTGCCCACCGCTGACTTCCAGGCTCGAGTCGCTGTAAGTGCACAAAGTTCAATCACACTTTTATAAGTTCAACTGAAGGAACTGGAAAGTAAGTGCATCAATATGAATGTGCAGGAAAGAACTGGTTAAGAGACAAAGCTGTTTAATTGATCAGGCTTGTTTCAATAATTGATCTTTCCTTGTTTTTTTTTTTCGTCAGAGAAGGACATTGTTCACTCAGGCTTGGCCTACACAATGGAGAGATCTGCTCGGGTTAGTATTTTATAATAATAGTTTCACTAATTAATATATCAACACATTTCAGTGCAAACATTTGAAGTTGTTGGGGAAGTACACAAACAAACACAATATTCAAATTCACAAATGTTAAATGAGTTAATGTGTCTCTTTTTTTAATTTTAATCTTCATGATTATTTATGTTTTCATTTGTTTTATTATGATTTTAATGTATTTCTTATTCTGTAAAGCACTTTGAATTACTTTGTGTACGAATTGTGCTATACAAATAAACTTGCCTTGCCTTATTTCCATGTTTTTACATTTGCGTCATTTGTTTTTCTTCTGTCCAGTGTCTGTGCAGGAGAGTTTAGAGCGGAAGTTTGGGAAACAAGGAGGACCCAACAAATTCCACAAATGGAATTAAAGTGTAACTGCCTAAAGTGAATCCTCCACCTGCTTGTGCTGTGGCAGAACTCTCCATCAGGAAAAATGCCTTTTAAATGTAAATGTATTTCATTTACATTTAAATATAATTCATTTAGTCTCGTCTTGTCTGGGGCCAGGACTCCTTTTGAAATAAGAATCCAAATCTCTGTGGAACTTGATTAAATAAAGAACAAATAAAATGTAACAGTTGAGTGAAAATGGTCGCTTCTTTGACTCGATCTGGAGACATGACTGTTTTCCTTTTTATCCTTTTTAGCAAATCATGCGCACGGCCAGTAAGTACAACCTGGGCCTGGACCTGAGGACGGCTGCCTACGTCAACGCCATCGAGAAGGTCTTTAAAGTGTACAACGAGGCTGGACTCACCTTCACATAGACCTGATCCGTCAGAACACGCCGTTTACCGCCACATCGTTCTGCTCATATCCTGTTGAAGTTTAGTCTCGGGCTGCGTCTCTTCAGTGTCCTCGGTCATAGTTGATTTTGAACATGCGTCCTGTTTCCTGTACACATGTGTCCACTGTTCTACAGATGCCTTATATCAGGACTGCTCTGACAGGGAGACAGACACTTTAACTACATTTCATTAAAGGGATTTATTAGATTTATTAGAAAACAAATTGTAATGATTAAAATAATTGTTGTTCTGTCCGTAGCAAAGGTCCAGATTTAGTTCAGTTCAGACTTGAGCTGTTTGATTCATTTATGTGACAGATCCTCCACTGAGACGAGATGGTTCTGCAGCAGGTTTTTCTTTGTAACCGTCCATTTCCTTCACAAAGTTGTTTATCAATAAATGACTGTATTTTTATTTTCATTGTTTTTCAAAACCAATAAAATATTAATAATATCACTTAGAGTCAGTGGTCACTGTTAACAGACAAGTGGACATTTTAAAGTTTTAAATCTGAACATGCTACTATCATTTTTCCATAATGTAAAACATATTATAGACTATTTACTATTTAACTAAGCCAGAGTTGAGTAAAAGTGTAAACGTGTTTTTTTTTTTTTTTTTCAGAAATGATCTCGGTGTGTGTGATTACTCTTACATAATAGTATTACGATCTATGAAGTAACTATGTTGAGGAAAAATCTTTTCACTTTTTAAACTTCTTTTTGTAAATGCAATACGTAGCTTCACTAAGGAATGTTATTGAGAATACTTTTAAACCACCTGTCATTGCAAATCATTGTTCCTATGCAGGTTACTATGTAAAATGTAACACAGCTCTGTGTTTGAATGAGCCCAAACAAAACATACCTACAAAGATATAATCTGATAACCTTATAATAAGCATTGTACTACTGTCAAACTTTCCAACTTACTAAACCAGCCTTAGCCTCTCTACAAACATAAGCTACAGGTCAGTCGAGTTGACTGAACTTCAAACACTATTAAACCACAGTTTCGTCCATTTAAATTTTAAGTTATTTTATTGGCTGCTATAGTTTTAGGTGATTATATATTTATTGCATAGATATTTAGGCTCCTTCCTGATATTGTGATATTGTGATATAGTTTGTTTAAGAATGTCCAAATTAAGGCCCTGGTTTATTTGTCTGTCCTCGTTCTTCTTTCAGATTGAGGTGAAACTGAAGTAAGTAGTAGGTCTATAGGTCACATTACTTACAATAAAAGAACTAATTTGGCAGCCGTGGATTAAAACTGGTTTGAACTCCTGTGTGTGGGGTTGGGGTTTTTAGTGTTTGTTAGAGAGATGGTTAATTATCAAACAAACAAACAAACAAAAAAAGAAACAAAACTAAAGTAAAAATACAGCTAATTAGGCCTACACATTTTATTTCAGTTACAAGAAGATTATCTTTATATCATTCGTATACTTCATATATGCATGTTAAGCTGCAATATATAAAGTTTTATGCATTTTGTTTTTGACCAGGATCATAAATATTACTGTTGGGCCTTTGTCAGTTAAGCCTTTGTTAGCTCCTCATAGACAAATCATGATAAATACAAACACTAGTTAAATTTGATTAAGATGCACAGTCCCCCTTTTAAAAGTGATGTAAACACAGAAGATTTGATCTGATTTTCAGAAATGATCTGGGTGCGTGTGATTAACCCTGAACAAGTCATTGTTCATAAGTATTCATGAACAGGTCTGTTTGTCTTGGTCAAAAGTCCAGCTCTCATCTGTGGAGCATATTTGTGTGATTTAAATCCACTCACCTTTAGTTGGAATGCACATATTAATGTGAAGGCAATGAGGTACAAATGGATATAGATGGACTATAATGAATTTAACTTTGGGAAAAATAAAGTATTATCTGTCTATCTTGCTTTAATCAGCCAGGTTATGGAATTATTAAAGGGGCCAATAAGACAAAATGTCTTCAGGTTAAGTTGATATGTTTTACTTTGACTTAACGTGATTATTTTAGTCTGATTATACTTTGAATTATTATCTCTTGAGTAGTTTATCATTTTCAGTTGTTTCTCTGGCCACCCGTGTCCACTTATTCATTTTGTACAAAAAGTCGAAACCTTGGTAGATTTGAACAAAACTATTTATTTTGTCGGCACAGTTTATAAAATCAGGGAATCTGCTTTGAACTTAAATGTGTGTTTTTGTTCTGTATTTTGGATGTGCCTGATTCAAAGTCATCCTGCTCTTTTATGTTGTTATCAGACTGGGTGGATTTATCAAACTCCAACCAGTTCTCATCAAGACATAGAATTTGACATGATCCTTTTTTGGTGACAGTGAAGTAAGGTGTGACTATTATATCTACCAACTGTCTAGACCACAGGTGTCAAACATATGGCCCGGGGGCCAGATCCGGCCCTCCAAGACCTTTAATGTGGCCCTTAATTATATTGTCTTATAAAATATTGGTAATTTTCTGCAGTGCTGAGCATAACAGCGTCTCCAGTGTCTCTGTACGTGGCCCCTACCACCAGAGCAGCACAAATGAAGACTTGTCTCTTTCCAAACGCTCTTAAAGGACGATCGTTTTGACGGTTGACCGTGACACCCTCATCAGCAAAATGTCCAAAAAGTGGAGCCGAGTGCAGGATTTGGCCCCCAGACCAAAATGAGTTTGACACCCCTGGTCTAGACACTTAAAACATAAAAAACATGTTAAAACATGTCTTAAAAATGGTTTGTAAAACACAAGTCCACACAGTATATTTACTGTATTGGGTTTCCAATGGGCATTGGATTGAAAACTTTTATGAGCTCAAAGGGATGATATACTATGAATGAAAACTCTTATGGTTAGCATGAATTTTGTTTTGTTTGTTTTGTAGGAGAAATACATCAGACATTCAGTCTGATTCTGATGGTTATTTTTCAGAAATGACCTTGGTGCGTGCGATTAACCCTGAACAAATATGTATTCACACATCTGTGGGACATATGTTCTTGTAATTTAAGTCTATTCTCCTTTGATTGGAAAGCACATTGAAAAGTGTAAGCTGGGGTGAAGGAATGAGGTAAAACCAGTGTGTCCATTGACTGGAAAAGGTTCTGCTTTAAACTTTCCATTTCAGTGTGATGTGGACTTTATTATAACATGTGACAGGCTTACATTAAAACATCATTCACTAGCTAGGACCACACCAACAATGACATAGTGCGAAGAAGTTTATTGATAATGTACGAAGCGAGGCAGAGATGGCTGGGTTGAGACTATGGGTGGGGGCTCCGTCTCAATCTACAATTGGCCCAGCCGGAACGGGACCCCCAAAAGGTTAAAAGAAAGCAAGATTGGATGGGCTGGACAGAGAACGTTGAGGTCATAACGAACG